GAAATATATGTTACTGAACATTAATAGAGAATATTTTTAAGAGATTCTTAATCTTCAAACAATTCTGAAAATTTTAACAATAAAAAAAAAAAAACATGTTCTCAACTATTTTTCATGAATATTATGTGCAGATGAAAGAAATTGTTACGATAATAAATAAAGATAACGATAAAACATATGCAAACATCAAATTACTTATTTTTATTTTCAACTCATGAAAATAATCTATGATTAAAAATATAAACATTTTCATTGATAGATTCTTTTTATTAATTATACATATTTATTTATTTCAATGAATATCGATTTCTCTTTCAATCATACAAAATAATTTTTTGTGTCTTTTTCTATTTATTTATTTAACTAACATTTTTATGAATATAAAAAATAATATATTTTAAAACATACACGAAAAAAATAAGTTTTAATTTTTTTCATTATCTATTTATAATTTAATAAGAATATTTGGTATTACACCACCTTTATAATCTTTATATGGACATATCGATTCATTATCGTTCTTTTTCCAAATCCATGTTGTTGGATCAATAATTGTTACTTCTTTTCCACCCATTTTATTTAAAAAAATATGTCTTGTTGCATCATTTGTTACTTGAGCAAGTACATATTGAAATCCATGTTTATGATGTGCATGATCACATGCTACTTTAACTATTTGATTTCCTATCCCTTTACCTGAATATTGTTTACGAATAGCACACATTTCTATATGTAAAACCATATTTGGTTTTAATTCTTGTCCAAAATCACGTGTTATAAATAAATTATCCATTTCTTCAAGTAAATCATCAAGGGGAATATTATGTAACATATCTGAAGTATTACATAATTGTTGTTTTTCATGTTGTAAATATAAATCACCGGCAATTAAAGCTCCAATAATATCACCTGTCGAACGATGTCGTACAAGAAATGATAAATATTCAGGAAACATATCTTTCATTAACGGCCATGAAGTTTCATTTAAAAAATATGTTGGTGTTATTTGATCAAAATATGTCATAGGATTATGTGCTGAAAATTCTTCAGCAAGAAGTTGTGCACAATAACGTGCATCTGTTTCATTGTCGATAATTTCATAGATATACTCATTTTCAGTCATGTTACCGGATGTCAGAAAGAAAAAAAAGAAGAAGAAAAGAACTGGCAAGTCAAAGCGACTAATGTTCTGTTGTTTTTTTTATACTTATATGAATATTACAGTGTCGTTCTTCTTTTTCTTTTTCTTCTTTTTCTTTCTTTCGTTCTATCAGTATTTGGTTTATTGTTTTGTGCTAAGTTTATTATGTATATGACGACTGACTATTTGCACTTCAACATGAAAGAAAATGTATATTTATCAAGCAATTCAATGTTCTAGGATCAAAATGAATAAACATTAATTTTATGTAACTTGCTTTAGATATGTGAACAAAAGTCAAGACTAATGAAAATAAAAGGCAAATAAATTCTAATTAAATAACAGATGTCGGAATTGTTTATGCGGAAAAAGGAGATTTTATTTCTAACTAAGCTTATTTTTCATAGGATTTTAGAAAATTCATTGGTATTAGTTTTCGTTTCAATTTTTCTATTGAAAAAAAATGCGAACTATGTTATTCATCCTGATATTATCGGTACAAAGCAATATATTCCCATATTTTTATCATAATGTTTTGCTTTATTGTCATTGGCACACATTCAAGAAACGAATAACATCAAAATACACTTAAAAGAGTAGTTACTTAATAAAAAGAAATACGTTATATGAAACAGACAAGTTGGATTGATCGATCATCTTCATGACTGTAAAATGATATATACTGATCCTAATTTTTATTCGATAGATTTTCTTTTAATTATGATTAAAAACAAAAATATTTAAAACTTATTCTTTGTTTTTTTTTGAAATTATAAATAAATTTCTGTCTTTTTTTATGATTAATAAGTATTTGTATAAAATAAATCTTTAGGAAAAAAAAGCAAGAAATCTTTTACCAAAGAAGACATGAATAAGCAACATTATAAAAAAAATAACTCATTTTTTTTTCCTCTATCTTTCGTATTAAAAAGCACAGCTGCCATCTTTGTTTTTTTATATATTGAAACGATTCAATGACATCAACTAACAATTAGCAAGAAAAGATACATTCATTTTATATTGACGAATATAACTACTAAATAGGAAAAAATCATGTGGAGAAACTGTATATTAAAATAATAGAAACTATGTCAAGCATTAGTAAGTTATTCTTTTTACATTGAAGATTATAGAAATCAGAGAAGACAGTATCGAATATAAAATGAAAAAGAAATCTTGAGGTTAGTCATGTTTTCCTCTGTCCGTTTGATAGGAATATTGCGTACTAAGCTCTCTATTTTTTATTTTACCTTCGTATTATTTATAGGTAACATGTATAATCATTGCAGACACATTTATAAGCTGTAGGAAATACATTTGCATATACAATCGTGTAATTTACCATTCACGTGTTATTTTTTTTTTTGTGTTAATAAGAAAAAGAAAAGAGAGACATGCATTTGTGTTGTTCTTCATCTCGTGTTCACATTATTCGGAATTTTTACTTATTCTTCATCCTTTTTCTTCCTAATTCACGCGCAATATCTGCATTTTTCGGTTGTCAAGTGTTTCAACAATGATGTTTCTTCCATTTGTTTATGTTGGTAAAAAAAAGGTCTTCCAAGTTATTTCAATGATGATTATCATCATTTCATCTGATTTCTTTCTATTTTCAAGAACTTGAAATGTCTATGTAACAATTTCAAATCAATTATTATAATCATTTTATGTTATAGATTGATCAATAAAGAATAACGAAATAGAAAAAAAAAGAAATTATTTCAAATGCAAATATATTTAAATCGATTAATTCGAAATCAATATTTTCAATTATTTTTAATATTATTAAACGTATATGTTTCGAAGTATACCTTTTATTTACAGGACTTCCATCTACACAAGCATGGATGGACTCAAGAGAACAAGATCTAGTATTGAAATATATTCGAAAGTTAAAACAAGAACGAAGGTACTATGGAACATAATAATTAGTCAACATACAAATCATACATTCAATGAATCATAAATCTTTTCATGCAATAAAACACTCTTAATTTTCCATTAAAATCTTCTATTATGTCTTATCCATTTTCATAATGTTTATCTAAAAGATTTATTTCAGATGAAAGCACTGAAAAGTCAGCATCATATATATATATGTTCTAGGTTAAGTAAAGCTTGGCCAGAATTTGTTTACAAAATAATTTTCTTATACTTAAAAATGAATTCTAATTTTCATGTGTATCAAGAGAACATAGTTCGTAATTATCGGTAGACACAATATTCATTTTTACTTATTTATGAACCGATTTGAATCAACATTGAGATTATTAAATTCAAAGAGAAGATATTACAGCAAAATACATAAACTGAATATTTCGTATGAACTAACATAGATTCAACAGACTTCAATTAAAGTTGCATATTATTTAATGTATATATAAAAGATTAGTTCTTCATTCTCATCTTTTTCAGTTTTTAAAATCCTCTAAAAACTGTGTTTAAATTTGCCTGACAAATATCAATTTTGCGAGAAATGAATTAATCAAGAGGCGTCTTCTATTGAGTTCAGTAGATCATTCTATCCGAACATTTCTTCTGTTCATGTGAAAAAATATCAAAATTTCATCGCTTATTTTTTATTCTAATTAATGTAACAATCATAATGAAATCGATTATAATTAATGTAAAACATACAAACATTGGATTAAAATGCTACTCCTTTTAATCATATGAAATAGATTAAAAAATAAATAAGATTTTGAACAATTTAAAATCGGTCTTAATCAAAAATAATCTGAATAATCGATATTTTTGATTATTTTTTAACTATAATCGATTAAATATATATGATCTTAATTGATTGAAAATCGTTTTTTTTTACAATTTTTATCACTTTTTTTACAAGAATATTGTACGAAAGAGTTTTTTATTTTATTTTATTTTTACTAAGAATACTATTGTATTTGACTTCGAAACGAGATGAAATCAATTTTTAGCTTATTTCATTTATTTCTGGAATAATAGAAAGAGAATGGATGTGTCAGAAAGATTAGAATGCATGAAAGATTATTTTAAACATGATGTTTTTTCATATTATCACTTCATAATTCAAAGTACGAAAATATTGATTTTATTATTGAGTGTTGAATAAATTAACAAAAATAATTCATTGCATTCTAAGAAAAAAAAGATGTTCATAAAACCATTCGCAAGATTAAAATATGAACTATGAAATAAATCTATTTAATAATAGAAAAATATATTTAATAAATCAAATTACCTGAGAACTTTTTAGTTTGCCTGTCAACTTATATGTTTTTCTTTTTTTCTCATATGTAAAAATAAATAATAAATCGTTACTAAGGTATCTTAGATGATCTAGACGGATGAAAGAGGAATCTCTCGTTTTACACTTCGAGTCGAAGTGTAAGCCGAAGGGTCAAACAGTGGCAGCAACTTTCATAGTCAATTTTTTTCCTTAGTGGCGGCGCCTACTAGACTTTATGTTTTTCTGAACAGGTGCCGGCTTTGACAACCGAAAAAAAAACGTATTTGCTCTTTAAAATGTCAATGGCGGCGGCGGCAGTCCAGCTGTACGACTTACACTTCTAACTTTGACTCCCTTTAATTCATAGAATTGTGGTCAGAATAAGCTTTCTTCTACTTTTTTCACATGCATCTAAAACATTAACTATCATGTTTACCATGAAGTTTCCGTTTAGTACTATGTAAGCATCAATAATTTTGAATAGTATCTAAAAATAAGTATTCATCAATCTAAATACCCATTCTCGATGTATATTTTATTCAAACATTCATATTCCAATAAAAATCAAAGTCGAATAATAAGTTATTTTATAATCTGATCAAATTAAATTTTTATATTTCAAATTTATTTAGTGAATAAAAAATATCTATGGTTAAATATGGTGCTGGTAGTAGTACATTTTTCTTTAGTTCTTATGTTGATTATTATGTTAGCATTGAACATAGTCATGATTATTGCCGTGAACTTGAACGCATGGCTGCTAGTCAACCACATCGATTCATTAAAATATTTTATATGGAACGTAATTCCTCAGGATTTTATATAAAACATTCTTTTGAACAAAAGCCAGATAAATTAAATTTAACTTCAATTATAGAAATATATTGTGTACCAAGAAATGCATATTCATTTACAGCTTATCATTTATGGGCAATAGGTGAACGAAGTACTTATACAATGTATCGTGACTATGCCGATTTTCTTTCAATATATTTTCGTGATAGAAAGTTCGATTTTGCTTTTCTTGATGGACGTGCACGACCACAAGTTGCTTATACTATCTTAAACCAATTAAATGAACCAAATGCAATAGTATTTATACATGATTGGAATCAACGAAAAGAATATCATGTTATTGAACGAGAATTTTATAATATAATTGATCAACAAATTGAAAGTACTCAATCTGGTGATGAAGGTCTTGTTGTATTACAAAAGAAATCGCAAGATATTGGACAAAAAAATATTACTGCTAGTGAATGGAAATCTGGAAAAGAACCAGAATGGTGGATTTAATAAATTTTATTTTATCTCTTATCGTTAGAATAATTTTATAAGAACAACAAATATAAACGTTTTTTTATGTTCAATAAGATTTGAGGAAAGAAAAGATCTCATTGATATTTGGATGACAATAGCTGTGATCCATTTTATAAAAAAAAACAAACGTTTGTATTTATACGAGAAACGGTAATTCCATTCAATATTCAAGGACTATAGTTTTTATAGATGGCATCAGTTAAATGATTTTAATAGCAGTTATTGAGATCTTTTCATAATTCAGAAGATATTATGAATACTCTTTTATCAATTTATTGACTCGACTCATCTAATGGAGGTAAATAAGCATGAGCAGGAGTAGTCTTTTTAATCTTGATAGCTGTCCTCCGAAGTTCATGTCTACGTGAAATACTTTTTCCTGGCTTTTTGTATTCGGTGGTTACCGCATCTTACACATTAGTCAGACGATTCGCGCCCATTGAATCCGAATCTGATCGATTGCGAGACCAACCCGGTGGGCTCGATTGACTATTGTATCGGCAAAAAAAAACTGTTGATTATAAAATTCGATTCTAATTGCTTTTCTTTATATATGCAAGGCAATAGTAAATGAAAGATATCAGATATCAAGAGCACTACTGATTTGATAGTACATTCAAATAAAACGATACATTCTTAAACTTAAGATAGAAAGCGCACATATGTTAAACATATGTATTTTTGAATATGAGTACTAAGTCTTTAAAAATATTTGGAATATGTCAATTATTACTATTTATTATGTTTAAAATCGTTTTTTTTTCTAATAATAAACAAAGAACAGTTTTTAACTGAAATAAATAAATTGATAATATTAATCAATATAGAAGAAATTCATTAACAATAATTAACCCAATTAACTTTAGTAGGTGCTGTAAGTGGACGTGTTGGTAGAATAATACGAACGTTTTTTGTTTTTCTCACATGTTCTATAGAAAGAGCATCTTGAAATGGTGTCGAAGATGTTGAAAATGAAGGTGTTGTATTTATACTTTTTGTAGTTGTGACAGAAGAAATAGACGAAGAAATACTTTTATTGGGTGTTCTACGTGAAACAAATGCTGTTTGAGGTCGTCTGATTACTTCTTCTTCTTCTTCTTCATCATCATCATCATAAACTTGTTTAATTTGATTAGCTCTTTCAAGTAATTCTCGACAACAAGCAGCACTATCGAGAGCTATTGGAGTTCGTTTCCATTGTTGTTCCATTTTAGTTTGATTTTTTTTAGTTTGTGTAATCATTTTAATAATTACATGACGACGTTTGTTTATTAATGATAAAGCACGTTTATGTTTCATTTGTAATAATGTACGTTCATCAGGTTTACCAGTTGTATCACGTTCATCAACAATTTTAACACGATGTGGTACACTTGACATACGTGGTAATCGTTCATGAAGACGTTC